AATTGACCTCTCTTAACTTGAATTCTACGACAAAATCCTCACACGGTCCGTCAGTATGGCATTCCAAGCTCTCCGATCCGTCAACCTCCGCGCAGCAGCGGGCTCCCTGAGAGCTCCCTCGACAACACGCGCCCTCACCGGCACGGCGACCGCACGCCTGCCGTACAAGGACACCCAAGACCGCAACTCCATCAACACGGGCACCACAGAAGCGACCAAGTCGGGGCGCGACCAGGACGCCGCCAAGGACTCTGAGGCGTTTGACCCGTCCAAGACGCGGCCCGAGACGGAGCGCAAGGAGGGCAGTGACGAGCTCCACGCGTCCGGTGCGAACCAGAAGCTGTCGAAGCCGCAAGGCGAGAACCCGAGTGGAAAGGGCGCGGGCAAGGAGGTCAGGAAAGGAGGGAAGAGCGCCGGCGGCAGCGCCCCGAAGGCGGGTACCCCTTGAGGGATGAAGACTTGGTTGGCATCATGAGAGAAGCATGGGCGTGTGTAAACAACAACATCAACATCATCAACAGCATTAGGACAGAGACGGCGTTTGTCTCGACATAATCATGATTTGAGCATATCTGAAGGCCTTGTGATGCCTTGTCCGCCGCCGTGAACGTTTCAACAGACTCCGAGGATATCAATGCAACCCCAACTCCAAACACCTTCGTCACCGCCCATTCTATTGCTTCCTCGTTCTTATGCGTACAGCCCATCGGGGTCGTCATTCTCCTCGTCGTCCTCCACAACGATCTGCTCCTTCTTCTTGGTAAGGTCCTTCCGGCACATGGGACAGCTGCCCTTGCTGCGCAGCCAGGGGCTCACGCACTCGAGGTCGAAGCGGTGGCTGCTGTGGCACGGCAGCTCGACGATGAGGGGGTACTGGTCGTCGAGGAACTTTTCGGCGCAGATGGGGCAGGCCTCGTCCTTGCCGAGGGACTTTTTGGGGACGCGGTCGAGCGAGTCGAGATACTCCTGGCTCACGCCGGGGATCTCGGAGGGCGGGCTGTTGATGTCGGACTCGAGGGCCTCGACGAGGGAGGAGAGGAAGCGGGCGTTGTCGTCGTTGGGGGCCGTCGAGAAGAGGGTCTGGAACTGTTGCTGGAGGAGGTGGTACAGGGCGGCGGCGTCGACGGGCGTCGGCGTCGCGTGAGGGTTCGTGTGGCGGTGCTCCTGGGGCGACGAGGGGGCGGCGTCGGTCGTGAGGTTGGCGAGGAAGGAGGTGAAGGAGGACATGTCGATGCGGCGGGTCCCGGACTGGGTGGAGGGCCCGGGCTTGATGTTGTGCTCGACTGCGTGTAAGTCAGTATCAGACGTAAAGGGTAGAGTTTGGTGCTGCCGGGGAGCATCTACCTTCGTACTGGGTGGCCATTGTGGGCGAATGTGTGTCCGCTGGTCGTTGCTGTGAATTGGAGGAGAGTAAACGAGACTGGTGAAGATCGAAAGGTGCCGTGCGGTCGGATCAGAGCAGCTTTTGGAGCAAGGGTGAGGCTGCAACGGCGATGATGTGGCTAGGCTAGGCAGTCAAGGCAGTCGTGTGGTGTCGCAAGTTCGGTCGGCGGAGGATCGCTTGGTGAGGGGAAGGTCAGGGATGGAGGGGTGAAAGAGCTTCTGTGCTTCTGCTTCTAGCGCATGCTACAGGGATCAGCACCCCGCGTCGACGGCAGAAAAGTGTGGCTGCACCGCCGCCCTCGCCTCACCTTCCAACCTCCAACCTCACCGCAGCTTGTGCTCGAGGTGTTGACCTCACCTTGGACCCGACGGCCGCCGCTGCCGAAAGTCTGTTGCAGGACTGCAGGTGGCTTCATCATGTGAAGACATTTATCGCAGATCTCTGTGAGCAGCTCGCAGTCCTTGGCGACGCAATTGACGATTTTCTCGGGAGGGCCGAGTCGACATTCCGCTCAGGATTCCGCTATGGAGCTCCAGGCCGGCGGAGTATCCGCACGTCACCTCATCTTTATCGCCGATGAGTGCTCCAAAGAGACCGGGGAGATGGATCTCGTTGCTACTTTGTACCGAAACACCCCACGGTCTTGGCGATGGCATCAGGGCACCTTGCCTTTGGGGCTTGCGGCAGAGCGAGAGCTTTTTTTTTTCCCCTGCAGCAATAAAAGATGAGGTCAGGCGCCGCGTCCAGTCGGGACAAATCCCAGAAGCCATGGATCCCGCGGCGATAAGGCAGCAGGCACGCCGAGCTCTCCGTCTAAGCGGAGTTTGCATGATCAGCTAGCTGCTGCGGACTTGCCAGGTTTCCCCCGACTTTTGTTTTTCTTCATCCCATCAGCGTGTGTGTATTGGTTCTCCTTGCTTCTGGTTTTCCGTGGGCGGTGCCGGATTCCCTCGCTGTCTCGTCTTTGCGGTCTCGAGCTCTAGAATCCAGGGCGGAGAGAAGGCAAAATGAAGCGAGCGGTGCTAGTCATGAGCCGTAGCAGCGTACGTGCTCATTCATGCAAAGGCGGCCGCGCTGCAGAGACGGAACCCGCGAACCTAGGGTGGATCAACATCGCAGGTCACAGAGCGAACAGCTCCAGCTGATGTGTAATCCACGGATGGTCAAGGAAGCAAAAGCATGGCATGGCAAGATCAGCATCGCCGTTGAAGTGTGGGGCATCCAGAGGTGTGAGACCGTGATAGAAACCCGCTCCGACCTCCCTGTCTGAGCTTAAAAAACTAGACCGCACCGACTCTGCTGCCCGTCGTCCTGTCCACCCCTTCATCCCTGCCGCTACTCCTCCTCCGTCCCAGCTGCTGGTTGGAAAGCACCCGAGAGCTACTCTGCTCCGAAGTTGCAGCCTTTCGTCATCTTCGAGCCCAGCCCTGCCCTCACACCCCAAAACACTCGAGTGAGAGCAACAGCCTTTACCAATCATCCATACAACCTGCTCCATCTCTTAATTCCGCCATCCCCTGATCTGGCCTCGTCGCACCCCCTCACGGCCTTGTCTCACCAAGCGCACACAGACGTCAGGCCGTTAAGCAGGAAAACGTAGAAGACGCAAGTCCCATAAAGCCCGGCCGCGACAGCATCAACCTCTCCCACAGACGTCCTGCCCTCTCTTCCTCACTTCTCATTTCTGTCCATTCACACACAGACAATAAGGAAGCGCCGACAGCTGCAGCATCACAGACCAAATCGTCCTACCAAGCCACCAAACCGCCGGGTCTTCAACGGTCGTCGTATCATTCTCGCATATCGCTCACCGCAACCTTGCCCACCGCCCATCAAAGCAACACCTCCCAAGCTTCACTTTTTACAGAAACGCACACCATGGCGCACTCGGCCGCAGTCATTGGCTCAACCGGCCTCGTCGGATCCCACATCCTGTCGAACCTCATCAACTCGGAGGCCTTTGCCGTCGTCAACACAATTTCCCGCCGTCCCCCCAAGGCCGGCGGTCTCACTCTCAAGCCCATCATCGAGGCCGACACCTCCGCGTGGCCCCCGAAGCTCGCCGCCCTGCAGCCGCTGCCGACCGTCGTCTTCTCCGCGCTGAGCACCACCCGGGCCGCCGCCGGCGGTATCGCCGAGCAGTGGAAGATTGACCACGACCTCAACGTTGAGCTCGTCAAGGCCGCCAAGGCAGCCGGCGTCAAGGCCTTCATCTTCGTCTCCTCCGCCGGCACCCGCGGCGCCATCTCCGGCCAGGCGCCGTACTCCAAGATGAAGAACGGCGTCGAGGATGCCATCAAGGAGGCCGAGTTCGACCACGGCATCATCCTCAAGCCCGGCATGATCCTCGGCCAGCGCGAGCAGGGCCGCGCCGGCGAGGGCATCTTCCAGAGCGTCATCAAGGGGCTGGGCATGGTGAGCCGGGCCGCCCAGGACAGCCTGGGCCAGGACGCCGAGGTCATTGCGCGCGCCGCCGTGCACGCTTCCGTCCTCGTCGAGCAGGGCAAGGCGCCCAGCGGCCTGTGGGTGATTGAGGCCCACGACATTGTCCGCCTCGGCCGGACAGAGTGGAAGCACGGCGCCTGGCCCCGGTCGTAGAGTTTGAGTCAAACGGTGTCTCTGGGGTGGTGGAACGTTACGAGAGCGATGAGTCGCTGCCATCGGCCGGCCGTCCGTCGGGAGAATGTCCCACCTGTGTCTTGTCGTCCCGCGGCTCATTTCCGCCGTGACACGACGCCGGCGAGATTTCTCGGGATCAATGGCGTGTCCATCGTTTCCTGTGGCGTGCGTTGGCACCCCGGAGCGTGTTTCGTGCGGTGTCACGACGTCGTGCCGTCCAAGGAGGTGGAGTCGTTGGTGTAAGTGCGTGGGCTTGTCCGGCTCGGAGTTGGCCCCGCCAGCCCCGGGTTTTCTACACTTTGTCTGTTCCTGTCAATATTCCTCGTTTCCTTTCCTTGTTGATATCCCCTTGTAAACGCTCCTGTACGAAATACCACCACTGTCTTTAGAGGTCAAGCCCAGGCAACGTTTTGTTTATTGGTCTTTGGTTTGAAGGGTTGCTAGTGTTGCAGCAAAATTATACCACGAAAAATACCAGTCTGCTGTTCTCGGAACCGAGCCGGTTGGACGTCCCGTCCCTGTGAAGTGCCATGCGGTGAATCATTGGACGATAGCATATGCATGCAATATGCAAGAAAAACAGAGGGTCAGACGGCTTGCCGCTCATCTCACAAACCGTGGATCTTCCGGCGCTCGTGCCCCACATCCCACTGCAGACCCGATCCGCCAGTGGCCGATCGTTGAACTGATAAACGGAGCCTTATCGAACCTGCCCGAACCGTGACCCCTCCATCACATCACAGCTGCGCTGCCCCACCACATCTCATCGGCGGCGACTCACTCGCAATCTCTCTCACGATCACCCTCGAGGTTTTGCCCACTGTCGCACTGCTTTTCGGGCTCGATCATCTGAACTTTCGCGCGCGCGTCTTCTCGTCTGGGTCTTAAACACAGCGTCTGCCCCCGCATTTCAAGATTCACAGAGAGACACACAGGTGTCATATTCTCAGTCTCACTCGTGATTAATCAGCACACACACACACAGCACACACTCACCATGGCGGAAGAGACATCACGTCCCCTCATCGTCGGCCCCGACTCTGGTCCCGAGGCCCCCTTCCCGCTCAAGATGGAGGGCAAGGTCATCTCGGGCTTCGGTCGCGGATCCAAGGAAGTGAGTCCCACCCTCCCCCCATCTCGCAGCAGCGCAAGTCTGACCCGCCAAAGCTGGGCATCCCAACCGCCAACCTGCCCGTCGACTCCTCGCAGACGCCCTGGATCGACGACACAAAGTCGGGCGTCTACTTCGGCTGGGCCTCCCTCGCCCTCCCCGCCTCGCACCCGGACCGCGTCGCCGCCGGCCACGGCCCCGCCCAGCCCACGCTCGAGTTCCAGCTGTACCCCATGGTCATGTCCATCGGCTACAACCCCTTCTACAAGAACACCGTCCGCTCCGCCGAGGTGCACGTCCTGCACAAGTTCGCCGCCGACTTTTACGACTCCCATATGCGCCTGCTCATCCTCGGCTTCGTCCGCGAGGAGAAGGACTACAAGTCGCTCGACGCCCTCATCAAGGACATCAACCTCGACTGCGATGTTGCGAGGGGCTCGCTCGACAGGCCCGCCTGGGCGCCCCCTGCCGAGCTGCGCCCCGGCGCCGACAAGGCCGGCACGCTGGACGCGGGCTGGCTGGTGGAGCCCCTGCCCAAGAACTAGACTACTTTATGCTTCATGATCACGATGTCACCCGGGATAAACCACGATGTTCAGCGTTTAGAAATTCTAGAATTGAAAATATAAAACCTGGGGAATCTGTTCTTGTCGAAAAAGGGGGCTCTGCTTGGGGAGGTGTGACTGTCCCTCTCGGCCCCTTGGGGGTGGCTGAAGTGAAGCTGCGCGGGAGAAAAGGAGGAAAAAAAGAAACAAAATTGGCAGAAGCCCATGAATATGAACCGTTTACCCATCAAGCCCCAGATGCGCCGTCCGGCTCTCCTCTCTGTAATCATAGACACAAGAGAGCCGTGTGTTTGATTGGCTATGAAACTCGCAACCCGTTTCCAAACGCCTCCCATGCCTTCATATATGCCCTGGTCGCCCCTTTTTACACACACCGTCTCACACAGCCAGTTGATGCGGTTCCTTGTTCTGGTAATAGCACGGCAGAAACTGGACAGAGTCAGCAGCCGACGCACGAAAGACACCCGGTGTACTCACATTCACCACGATCAACATGGGGATATCAAACACGTCTCGTTTAATCATCCAGCAGTACCGGCAGTCCACCTTGCCGTCCTTTTCAATCTTGGAGATGCCGTGCTCGCCGTCGATGCGCGTGACGCGGTTGCTGAGGATGCTCTTGCGCGGGTCCTGCTGCGGCGTCATGTCGGACGAGGCGGCCGCCTCCGTCTGCTCCTTTGTGCGGTACTTGAGCACGCGGCACGTGCGGTTGACGCTGCCGCGGCTGTCGCCGAAGGCGAGGTGGGAGAAGTCGTCGTAGAACTCGACGACGCTGTCGTCGTCGAGGATCTCGGCGATGAAGACGGGCTGCTTGCGCGGCGCGCCGCCCTCGCCGTTCTTGATCTGGTCGACGAGCGCGGCGGACGGCACCTTGGGCGTCGAGAAGCCGGCGCGGCCCGTGTTGCGCCCGCTGTTGGTCGCCGAGGACGGCGTGCCGCCGGTGTTGACGTTGAGGTTCGGGTCGTTGCCGAGCAGCACGTCCTTGGTCCAGCCCGTGAGGGCGATGAACTCCTTGTTGACGGCGGCGATCTCGCCCGTGCGGCGGAGGACGATGGTCGGCGCGGAGCAGTGGTGCATGAACTCCTCGTACTCGAACAGGGTGCGCTGGAAGCACTTCTCCATGAAGATGAGGTCTTGCCGGCTGAGCGTCTTGGTGCACGCGATGAAGGACGGGCGGATGCTGGCGAGCGCCTTGGCGATGCGCAGCGTCCTGTTGGCGGAGAAGCGCTTCGGGAGGTATTCGATGAGGGCGTGGAAGCCGGCCAGGTAGGGGTACGGCTCCTTGACGGTGTCGTAGATGGACGAGGGGTCGCGTTGCCGCTTGCCCAGCAGGGAGTGGGGGCCTGACTTCTGGGGCTGGCCGGGCTTGTTGTTGGTGTTGTTGTTGCCGGCCTTGGGGCGCGAGGGGGCGGATATGGTCTGGGAGTTCCCAACAGCGCCAAAGTTCCCACTTGGAGATCCTTCAAACGTAAAGTTAGTAGGTTGCGGGCTGGCGGTGTTGTCTGTGCTTGGGCTATGTAGGCTTGTTGGGCCGGCAGCGATGGCGTAGGCATGTGGGAGCCCATGTTGCAAGTTGCCTTGTTGGTACATGCCGTTGGAAGACTGGTCTACACCCATGAAATCGTTGATCATACCGCTATCGTAGACTTGGCCAAACTGGTTGTTGCCATTGCCAAAGACGTTTGTGGATCCAAAGTTGACTGCTTCACCACTTGGTCCGGATAATGAGCCGTCCCGCGGCGGGGTCTCCGCCGCGCCGGACGACATGTGCCCGAGCATGCCAAACTCCATGGCGCCGTACTGGCTGCCAAAGTTGAGCCCTTCCAGGTCAAAGTTGAAGATGGCCGGGTTGCTCGGGTCGAATAACGTATTGAACGGGTCGTTGGTGACCTGCGGCGAGATCATGCCGCCAATGGAACGGCCGTTGTTGCCGCCCGATTGCGGGAACGACGGCGATATCGGCGACGGCTGTGCCTGGAACGGGAGGCCTTCGGGGATGGCGACGGGCGTCTGCTGGCCCGAGTACACGGGGAACGAGGCGGTGGAGCTCTGGCCAAAGTATGTGCTGCCGGCGGTCGAGGCCGTGTCCGAAGTCCCGCTGTGATGCCGCTGGCCGTTGGGACGGGTCGGGGCCGCGTTGGGGTTGTAGTTGGGCCCGAGGACCGGCCGGAGAGCCTCCGGCGGCGCATCGTGGAGATACTTTGCCTTTTTGCGAACACCGTCCTGGCAGGCGTCTGCGAGCCCGCGCTTAATGCATCGCTGACAAGGTCGTTCATCTCCTATAGCCATCACATCAGCACAAGGTTTGGTCGCAGAAGAGGCCGTATACGAGACTAAAGATGACATGGACCTCCAATTACCACGGAGGAGGGACAATCACACGAATTCACTTGACCACCACAAGACTGTCGCGAGAGCCGAACCCTGAGGAATCGAGCAGGAGCTTACCGCAGGTCAGATGGGCTCGTTGGCAGGCGAAACACGCCCGGCGAGCCTTCTTCCTCCTCGGCCGTGAAGGGTCCTTGGGGTCGTACTTCTTCTTTACCTCGCCGTTGTTGTCGTTGCCGCTATCGTGGGACTCGGCCATCTTCTCGTCGTCGTCGTCTTTTACGGGCGTCTCGTCGTCGTACTCGTGGTCATTATCTGACATGGCATCCGAGACCTCAGTCCCGGGCTCCTCGAGGCCGTCCGGCATGTTGTCTTGGTTTTATATGCAAGCCTCTCTCCTCAGGCAGAACAGGACAGCGACAACGGCGAGCCAAGCTGCCGCGGTGACGGGCACGGCGCTGCAAGGTCCTGGTCCAGGACTGTTCCCTGGATGCTATGTTTGCGAAACCACACGGCTCACTCCCAGACGTGCCGTAATGTGCTTCGTGTCGCAGTGGCAGGCGTCGTAGAATAGGGAAGGGAATATGAAAATCCTCCTGCGGTCGGAAGTGAAGTGGCACACGCCGGGATCCGTCTCGTGCAGCACACGCGCACACGCACACACACAAGGTCAAAGTGCAGCACCGCCGTGGCTTGCTGTCTTCCCAGTTCACCTACACCTATATGCGCAGGGGCGAGCCTTCGAGTCCGCAAATGGGAGTCGAGCCGGGTACAGTCTCCCGCGGGCCGTGGAGTGGGAGAGGACAGGGACCGAAATAGGCGCTGTGCGCTCCCGCGATGTAGACGGGAGGCTGTTGGTTCCCTCTTTTCACCAGATGCGCAGCGGCAGCAGCTGCAGGCAGGCAAACCAAGCTGCAGGACAGGCCAGGGAAGACGAGGCGAGGGAAGGGGTAGGGCGTTGGTCTCTCTCGATGAGCTCGTATTCTCAGCAGTCAGGAGTCTCCAATGGTGTGGTGGTGGAGAGAAAAGAGGCGTCTCTTGTGCGACGTGCTCGTCACGGCAGGACTAGGACTCGATAGTTGGCGCAGTCGTTTGGAGACCGGTGTTCGCGTCGCGGACCACATGAGGTCACGGGGACGGGGACGGGGACAGGGTCGAAGAGCGGCGGATGGGAGACTGGCGGCGCAGGACCGGGGTGATGTGACGGGAGTTTTGAGAGGTCGAGGCGTCGAAGGGTGTCTGCAGGTAGCCGTGGCCCTCGTGCTTGCAAGAGACAAGCATCGACACACGGGCACGCGGACGGTGAGAGTGTGTTGTCTCTGTGGGACGGAGACCTCGTAGGGCTTGCGGTCACGGTCACCGGCGGGATTGCAGCGGTTTCGGGGGCACTGTCGTCGGGGTCGAGGTCGGGATCGGGGGGCCGTGATGTTTATCCTCGGTCGGGTGGAAGAGGAGCACGCGAGAGTGGTCGTTTTGGAGCTGACCGAGAAGAGCAGACGGGAGAGAGAAGGGTCGGCAAAGTACCGTCGCAGCAGTAGCAGACCCCGGCAGCAGTGGCTAAACAGTTTTACACCGGCCCAGCGAGGTATGGAATCCCAGCCTCGCTGCCGTTGGTCAAAGATTTGCTGCTGAGCTGCGGGGTTCTCTTGGAGAAAATGCCAGCCCGGCGATTGGCCGATCCGCCCATCATGTGGATATCGCCAGCCGATGCCCCACTCTGTATCGGCTACTTGGAGAAGACGGGGGAATGGGCAGCGAGCACGCCGCACACGCCGTTCCCGGTACTTTTGCCTACAGTTTTCGCCAGAGTCTTCACCCACGGCCCGCCCACCGAGGAGCGCGCGCGTCATCCAGGTCCTCGGCATGTCATTGCAGCTTCTGCTGCGTACCTGGACTGTAGAATCGTCTGTACTCGGTACCGTGTACGTACCTCACCTCCTCCGCGCTGCCTGCCGCCGACCTCAGACCTGTGCACCTCGATGCAGATGGCAGGCCACTTGGACCTGGCTGCAGTCCGAGCCTTGGAACAGACTTCAGTGTTCCTCGCGACGTGGACCGGGTTGGCCAGACCACGTTCGTGTTTCTCGATCTAATCTAGCATTTCTTATGTCAACGTCCTCAAATCTCTTCATCTCCGACGCCCAACGCTTAATAACAGTTACGACTCGCCGCCCCTTGGCTCCTTGGATACCCTCGTTTCTGTGTCAATATGCCCCAATCTGGTAGCACAGCATTACGTTAACGACGTCGATGCAAGCCACTCTATTGGACATCTGGCATGGCTGCCATCCAACCGCTGCATGTGAGATCCAATACGATCCACGGCCAGGTCCACGTCCACATCCCCAAGTCAAGTCAGAGGTCGGTCAGCCTGCCGGAGAACCAAGCCGAGGGCCGAACCTTCCAACTTCAACTCAGCCCCTCAGCGAAACATGCCATGCTGCCTTTACGATGTGTGACTCCAAACACGGTCTCATGTCGACCGCTATCGCATTAACATTGGCTTAGCCGACGTGCCGAGCGTCGGTCTGCCTTCTATCTGCCTGCAGTCCAGCAACCACTAAAGGATGGGGGGTATCTTATTGCATGTGCGCACAAATCCAACCGCTCCTCTCGCCCACCCACCATTGGCGGCCACTCGAACAAACTGCTCCTGTCGCGTCACCCACGAGTCTTCAGTCCGGCTGCCTCGAATCTGCCTCCGTCAATGACAACCCAGGACCTTTGGGCACCTGCAGACGGCTGCTGCCGTCACGAATGATGATCGCCACGATCAACAGCCGCATCTGCTGCGCGCACTAGCCGTCCAGTCGTGCCAAGTGTCGTCGCAGCAAGCCTGCCTGGACCAGGAACAGCTGCAACCAAGGGCTGCATCCGACAACAGGAACCACGCACCACTGCCGCTGCTCCTCCGCACCCGTGGGTAGAGGAGTCTGTGCGGTGTGGCCGGCCGTGTCTGATCCTGAGGCGGCGGCCGTCATTTCCCTTCATCGCGTCGGCCCGCTTGCCAACGTCCGTCCGTCCACGGAGAATTTCTGGCGCTAAGTGTTCTTTGCGAACCGGCTGCGCTTTCTAATCTGCTTGCCATACTTGAAAAAGATGTACGGGAACGGCAGCATCGCTACCGTCAGGAACCCGAGCAATGACGTCGCCCATTGGTATCCGAGCTCCGTGTACATCTGCGTTCCAAACAACGGGAATGCGGCTGTCAGGCAATCGTCTAGGTCAGCACTGACCGAGACACACGGGGCACAACCCGGCTGAGTGGGAGAGAGAACGTTGTTGGTGCCACGGGAGGGTAAACTCACCAGCAAACATGCATCGCACAAACGCATTCGCAGCAAGGGCTGACGCTGCGTAGAGAGGATAGGCGTCCACCTGCGAAGCCCAACATTAGCATACTCATCTCTCATGTCGTGCAACGCCCGGGGCCTGGAGAATGATTCCAGACCCCTGGCACCGCCGCCCAACCGGTGGGACAAGCAGAGACCACTTACAAGAAACGTAAAAATGCCAGTAAAGACGAGGAGCACCCTTCAGACGGTCAGCTGCAGCTCACATGCACACACACAGTTGGAAAAAGGAAAAAGCAAGACGACCCCACGGTCCGTGGAGGGGCCTGACAAAGCGTGACTACGCCAGCACATGAACCTGCAGACGGCAGCCGGCCTGACGCAAGGACGGGCATGTCAGGTCACGACATGAGCTTATATGCTGCGGAACCACGGGCCTTTTTCCATCTTGGGGCCATGGTCGCGATATGTCGTGTAAGGGGAAAAATAGAAAGACTCGACTCACCCCGCGCCAAAGATTGCGCTTCCGATGATTGGCACAATCCAGTGTATCCAGGAGAAGGTCGTCCACGCGAAGATGAACAGCCCAATGGTGACGAGGAATGCGCCGCAAATCACAGGAGGAAGGCGAAATTCGGGCTCGCTGGCTCCCTCGACGCCCGTCTCCTTTTCCAGGTCCGCCATGAGCCGGCTGCGGATGCGGTGCCACAAGGGGTCGGTCGCGGCCGCCAAGAGCATGCCCACCAGGAGGCCCAGGAAGGTGAGACCGACCTGCCAGAGGTTGAAGCCGTGGTTGGTCGTGAAGACGAGCGGGAAGGCGCCGAAGAAGAGGTACAGGATGCCGAGGAGGATGGCGCAGAAGACGCACAGGTTGAGCATCATGGGCTCGTAGATGAGCAGCTGGAAGGGCCGCAGCAGCGACAGGCCGATGGTCTTGGGGATGGACTTGGTCATCTTCTCGACGGGGGCCTTCCAGCGCTCGTCACCTGTCTCTTTTCGGATCTTGCGCGCCTTGGTCCGCAAGACGATCGGATCTGTACGGTGTCAGCACTCCCGCACCACCAGCTCAGGGGCGCACCCTCCACGAGGCACTCACGATATGTCTCGGGCACCAATACGACGATGGCCACCAGCAGAACAAACGTGATGATGATGAGCACGTAGTAGGTCCAGCGCCAATGAAGGTACGTGTTGATGAAGCCACCAATCAGCGGTCCGATACACGGGCCAATGAAGGGGGCGAGCGAGTACATGAGCATTGGCGCCTGAAGCTCGTGACGCGCAAAGAGATCGCCAACTGTGACTAGTCAGCATACCCCGAGACGTGATGATGGCGACCTCACTCACCACTGCCCCCGGACACCGACAGGAACGCTGAACCAGTAAGACCGTCGAGAAACCGGGCGACGATCATGGTTGTGATGTTCTTGCTGACGGCGGATGGGATGATCCAGATGAGATACATCACCCAGGAAACCAGGTAGATGGGCCGGCGCCCGTAGAACTCGGAGAGAGGGCTCAGAAGCATTGGGCCGAGCGAGATGCCCAGTACAAACACGGACAAACCAACTGTAGACACGAGCTTCGACGTCCCGAACTCGGCGTTCATCTGCGCGTACGTTGACGTGTAAATGGAACTAGCAGCAGTGCTGTGTCTTGTCAACAGCCGCCCTCCACCCTTCAAATTCTCAGTCTGCCACTTACACGCATGTGCTAGCGAGAGACACAATCGAGACAATCACCCATTTCCTCAGTTTGCTCATGCTGCGCGGACACATGGGGTCGCTGTCGCCGCCTTCAAAAGATACTTCAAAGGGGTCCTTTTCGGGTTCTTGCGAAGGGCTGTCGTCGCTGCTGTCCAGGTCGTCGACGCCGTAGCCGTTGTTGCTCCTATTTCGGCTCAGGGAGCGTAGCGAGCGTGCGCCGGCGCTGGCCCCCGTTCGGATGCGCTGAAAGGTCGCATCGTCCTCGGCGGCGATCGTTTCGTCGTCGTTATCGGCGCTCGATGACCGGCCGCTCTCGGCCTTTTCGACATCCGCCATGGCTGTTTGACGGTCGTCCTGATCAAAGGTTGTTTAAGATTTGAACAGAATGGCAATGACGAGCTTGATAGCAAACAAGCTGGGACTGCGGATGTCGGGTCTTATGTACGGAAAGGGTCGACTTATTATGGGACCACTTCCGAGTTCCAGCATGTGGATCGTGACCAGGGACTCTCTTTTTTTGCTGGATCTGCTACCACGATGAAATGTGTCGCAGGCCCGGCGTGGTTTTTATTTGGAAGTGGTAGAAACGGGATCCTCTCCCATTGCAACGATCCAGAGCCCGTGAAAACAAGTCGACGAGAGGGGGCAAACAAGCCTGATCTTGGGCCATTAGTCAAAGACGGACGAACGTCTCTAGGGCGCAACCTCTTTGGCAATTTTTGCTGCCATTATTCAGCCCAGCTAGGGCGCGCGCTGTTGGGGCCCAGAACGCGGCTCGCCTTTACGCCTTTTGGAGGAGCTTAACCCGTTAACCCCCGGATTGGGAGGTGGATCTCGTCATTGTCATTGAGGCGAGGCGACCTCCACCCTGGGAAAGGTGGACGCATTGGTGGACGGATGACGCCGCCATGGGGCCCTGCGATCTGGGAAAGACGCGAGACGAGGAGACTTGCCATGTGCAGCATCCGAACCAACGGACGAAGGGGTCCATCCAGTTCGAGGGGAGGGGAGGGGGGCTCAGCCAGTAGGGATGCCGCATGTTCATTCTTCCACGCGAGCACACCATCGAAGGCGAGCTCCCAACGCAGTGTGTTAGTCAAGACGGAGCGGCGCCAGAATGTGATTGATAACAGCGATAGGCGGCGGGTGACATCCGTGCTCTGTTAGCGGTTGATAGGAAAGCAAGCGGGGCTTTTTCGTTTTTTCCCTTCTCTGTTTCCTACGGAAATAGCCCGCCTCAACCTGACATGACGTTGACAAGCGTCTTTCTCGAAGTCGCAGAACGGGGGACCCTCGGCATCTGGGAAGAGTGGGTGAGACACCAGCCAGGAGGCGCCCGTCAGAGCGGGCTTCTTCAACAGAGTCGCAGGGCTAAAAATGGGAGACGCCGAGCGATCGGTTTGGATTTGCGGCTATGCTGGAGAAACCTGACAGAAACACTGGCCCTGGACGCCCTGAGCTGCAACCCAACCTGAGCTGATCCGATGTGCCCTGCCTGGCCAACAGTTCTCGCGCCATTCGATAAGCTTCAATCGGCTTTTCCCATCTTCCATGTTCCCTACGTTAGTTCGTGATCCGACCGGGCCCACGCAGCCGGTAAGTGGGGTTGCATTCCCACTGATTGCTGGATTGCTGCCCCCCTCCGAAAAGAAAGAGTCATTTCGCGTCGTCGGAGAGGGCGAAGCGCGAGCGCCGTCAACCCGCCTTCCGATCCCGACCGTTTGTTTTTCGTCCAGTCTGTGCTTCTTGACACCTGCCCCGAGCTCTCTTCGGCGCCGGTTGCCGTAGCGTGGGATGGTTGAGATCCTTCGGGCCACGTGCGATGACGGGCTGTCTGTCAGCAACGTCCGTGGACTTGTGTTGACGTCCCTGGAGATGGACGCATTTCTAATCAAGGCTGATCAGCTTTGCCATACTGCGTAACCATGTCTATTGCACAAGTCCCCTCTGTTGGGAGCTAGACAATCAACGAACCAATGTCACAATCTCGAGGGACACAAATTGGACGGCTGAACCTCAGCGTTCTGTCGTTAAAGCTATCTAATACTGGCATCATGTGCGTCTCCAGCGTTATTATCATACATGACTACGTCTCCCTCATACATGTTCGTCGTCATCGCTCACTCTATATGCCTCGTTCAGTCAAATGCAGGTTGCTCGCCCCAAACGCCAATTGCATGCAAAACCCCACGGCCAATCAGTAGTACTCCGGCAAGCTGCTCCACGACGGCACCGTTCCGGAGCAGTCAAAGTCCCGGTCGTAGGCCTTGGCAGGCAGGATTCCGGCCGCGAGGCCCTTTTTGTAGCTCCAGAGCGGCGAGCTCTCCGTGTCCCATGTCCAGTACCACCAGCCCCACCCCTTCTCGAACGAGTGCATCTGCGCCTCGGCGAACATTTGCAGAAACTGCTTGTAATCGCTGCTGAACCCGCTGGGGTCGCCGTTGGCCTTGTCGCAGCTGCACTTGCTGTCCTCTGTCGGGCACCGCGGCGTCAGGATCGACGTCGAAGAGTTGCCCGTGTCGTACGTGCCCGTCCACCGGTTGCCCCAGTTGACGTTGGTCACGTACTTGGCGCAGTCCGTGTCGGCCTGCGACCACTCGGCGAAGAGCGTCGGCCCGTAGCCCGTCGACGTGTCCATCGACTGCTCCGCCTGCTCCGTCCAGCCGTCGCAGGCGTACTGGACCTTCTTCTGGTGCGTGTACACGATCTGGTCCGTGTTGAAAATCACGTACTGGTGCACGTCGAGCGCCAGGTCGCTGTAGCCCGTCATCTTGCCCTGCCAGTTGCCGAGGCCCATGAAGCCGTCGCCAAACACCACGATGGCCTTGATCCCGTTGCCCTTGACGAGCTTGTAGGCCTGCTCCGTCCACGCGACGACATCCGTCGCGCTCAGCTCCGTCATCTTTGGCTCGTTGACAAGGCCGTAGAAGGAAATGATGTTCTTGTACCGGTCCTGCGCAAAGAACTTCGACAGCCGGTCGTGCAAGTCCAAGCTGCGCTGGGCGTTGGTGGCGCCGTCGGTGCCGTTGAGCCAGCCGATGACCCCCTGACGGCCAGAGTGGTTCCACCCGTTCTGACTGCCAGGCAGGCCGTGGACGTCGAGGTTGACGCGGAGGCCGTACTTGCGCGCCCATTCGATGCCGCGGAGGAGGTATCGCCATGACGTACGGAAGACGTACGGATCGCCGTCGTAGACCTCGATCGCCCAGTAGTTGAAGGGAATGCGTACGTGATCGAGTCCCGCATCTGCAATCTCCTTGAACGTGTTCTCCGTCACGAAGGTCTTGTAGTGGTCCTCGAGCACCTCGGCCGACTTCTTGGTGCCCAGGTGCGTGCAGAGGGTGTACTCGTCTATGATGCCGAGACGGGAGTCGTAGTTGAAGAGCGAGGGCGTGATGAAGGGTTCGAGGTTCAGCCAGCCGCCGACGTTGACTCCGCGTGCCGGCCTTGACCCGTACGAGCCCCAGTCCTCGTTGAGCTTCGGGACCTTGCTGTTGGCCTGCGTCGAGTCGTCCCAGTCGGTGTACAGGCCCATGACCGGCAGATCGCCAACCATCTCGTCGGTAAAAGTGACGTTGAAATCGGTGGTGTCGCCCCAGGACCACGGATCGAGATAGGTGCCGCGCCATTTCATCGGAATGCTGTTCTTGTCCTGGCCGTCGAGGTTTACCGAACTCGAGTCGCTGTTGTTGGAGTTTTTCTTGCTGACGACCACTGCCACGACGATAATGATAATCAGGAGGACCAAGCAGACTCCAAGGCAGATCCCTGGCGGCGGTTAGCTGTCGATCGTAGGCCTCTGCCGGATCACTTACAAAGCTTCTTCCTCTTCTTGATCGGCCCGGGTGGGTCATCCACGAGACGCTCCTTCTCGAGGCTGTTGCTGTCGGTGCTGCTCCATCCGCCGCCTCTCAAACCACGCGACCCACGGCCCTCCTCGAGAATGGCGCCGCTGACCACCCGCTTCTTCTTGTGCCTGTCTTTCCGCGGTTTCTCGTATGGCAAATCTCTGTACTCTTCCTTCTGGACTCGTCGCGGCCTCTCTCTCGGCGGATCCTTTTCCCTCGGAGCGTCTCCGTTCTCCGCGGCGGCACGGCGCGCCCTTCGTTCCCTCCTCTCTCTCCGCAGCCTTTCCCTCTCTGCATCTCTTTCCGGGTCTCTTGGCCTCGCGTCGGATCCCCGTCGCTTTGGTCTTCTCGTGTTCTCCTGGTTCAACTGGGCCAGCGCATCCGCCGAAAGCGTCTGCGAGCCCCTGCTCTCTCCAGAATCGGTCGCTGGCCGTCTCGATCTCTGATCCTGTGACCGCCGTTTCTTGTGTTGATGTTTCCTGCCCGATGAGTCCCGTGGTCGGTGCGACGACGGTCTCGAGGATTCACCGGGCGCCATTGTTCGAGATGGAATGCCGTCGCGAAAAGTGCTAGTCGTCGTTGCACTGGAATGCTACTGACCGGCGGCCATTCCAGATGGATATACGTGTTGACGCCAAGGATACCAAGATCGTATTCATGTCCGCTGCCCTGTTTTGGCGCTGGGCTGGCGGCTCGGCTGTTGGCAGGGCAACAATCGCTCGGGCCTCTTATCAGGGCGTAAAGTGGCCGCAAGGGTCGGTCGCCCGCCAAGGGCCGCTGCGACCCCGCGAACGCCGCTGCAAGCCGAACTTACATCACCCGGGCGCGGGTTAGTAGGACAGCCTCCCTCGTCGAGCCGGCGGTCTCAGTTCCTTCGTCTTTAGACATTCATGGGAATTGGGCCTCGCAGTGATTCTGCCGGCTACAAACATCATACACAATGAGGTCGATTTCATTACGTCCACTCCGCCGAGCGCTGGCGCCGTCCGCGTCCACCCAGCTTCCCCTTGCCGTCTCTCGGCTTTACTCGACGCACCCGCCCAATGCGAAGCTCAACGTTCCCGTCGACTACGCGACGACCTCTCTCCTCGCGCACTCGTCTCAGGCGGCCCTCGGCACGGCCGAGCTCCCGGCCGAAGTGCGCAATGGCACGACGAAGAAAATGAACCTGTTCCAGGCCATCAATGACGCCCTGTCGATTGCGCTGGCCGAAGACGACTCCGTCATGGTGTTTGGAGAGGACGTTGCCTTTGGCGGCGTGTTCCGGTGCACAATGAAGCTCGCCGAGACGTACGGCGCGGACCGCATCTTCAATACGCCGTTGACGGAGCAGGGCATCATGGGCTTCGCCATCGGTGTGGCAGCGGAGGGCATGCGGCCAGTAGCAGAAATCCAGTTTGCCGACTACGTATACCCGGCATTCGACCAGCTCGTCAATGAAGCGGCCAAGTTCCGATACAGAGACGGCGCGTGCGGTCGCAGCGTGGGCGGTCTCACAGTCCGGATGCCTTGCGGCGGCGTCGGACACGGCGCCCTCTACCACTCCCAGTCCCCTGAGAGCTTGTTCACGCACATCCCTGGACTGCGAGTGATCATGCCGAGGTCACCCCTCCAGGCCAAGGGTCTCTTGCTGTCAGCCATTCGTAGCAACGACCCGTGCATCTTCATGGAGCCCAAGATACTCTACCGGGCCGCTGTCGAGCAAGTGCCCGCAGGGGCGTACACTCTGCCGCTGTCCAAGGCGGAGGTTCTGAAGGAGGGCAAGGACGTGACGATTGTGTCCTACGGTCAACCACTGTACACTTGCATGTCGGCCATCCAAAAGGCCGAAGAGGAGCTGGGCATCTCCGTGGAGCTCATCGACCTCAGGACGCTGTACCCGTGGGACAAGGAGTGCGTCTTTGAGAGCGTCCGCAAGACGGGCCACTGTATCGTGGTGCATGAGGCGATGGTCAATGCCGGCGTCGGCGCGGAGGTTGCTGCAGCCATCCAGGAGGACCCGGATACGTTCCTGCGACTGGAGGCGCCAGTTGCGAGGGTTGCGGGATGGAGCATTCACACGCCGTTGTTGTATGAGAAGTTCAACATTCCGGATGTTGCGAGTAAGTGGCCTTTTCTGCGAGCCTGTGAACAGTTTGCTGACCTACCTAGGGGTTTATGATAATATTAAGCGGGTGTTGGACTACTGAGGTGGGAGCATGGACGTCAACTTTTAATACATACCCATGATGATCAATCTGAAGACGTGTGTGGGCTTAGACCTAGACTTTGGAAGGCGAAAGGATACCAAACTGAAGCCCAAGGCTGATCTACCGTTGCCATGTCGTGTTCGCTACTAGGAGACCAAAGTTGTAAAATCAATCGCCCTTTGAATTGCAAGCAGTGAATGCAAAGAAAGAATCGTATCTGATGTCCTGGCGACTTGATGGAAAGGTACAACTTGATTGTGCGTCATTCTGGCAGAGGTGGAGGTTGCGCACTAACAATTAATGCCCCTTTCCTGGCCAATCCGTCGCTGCCCCCGTCATCGTCCGTCGTCGGTGTCCCGCCAATTGCCCCGCATCAGGTATCTCATGTTTCAACGTCCACCGCCGCATCATCACCGCCAACGCGATATTACAAGCATACATCACTCTGGCAAATCACCCCAGAATGTCCCAAGTCGAGACCGTGTCCTCCTTCGTGGAGGGAGCCCCCCCTGGCGAGGTACGTCGAGCTGTTTCCACCGTGCACACCCCGAGCTGACCTGATTGAAGCTCGCAGATGTCATCGCAGGTAACGACACGCCGCCGCCGGTTCGCAGCCCGACCGACAGCTAACCCGACAAAGACATCAAGTCCCTCACCGTGTCCGACCCCGAACTCGTTTCGAGCCTCGAGCCGGCGTTCGAGAAGTACAATGAGGAGCAGTTCATCACAGTGAAGCTGCCCGGCGGCAGCCAGCAGGTCGGTCAAGCGGCGGTCGAGGGAGCAATCGGAAGCTAAGGGAATACATCAGGTCATCGTCAGCTCTCACAACTCGCTGGGCAACGGTCAATACTTTGACGTCGAGAGCTCCACGAGCTTCACCTTCGACCACAGCACACAGAAGGCCAGCAACGCGCAGAGCTACGTTCTGGAGGGCGCCAACGCCGACTTGATGTAGGTGACGCTGCGTGGATGGGAGGGATGGTGCTAAACGGAATGCAGCAAGTCGACGCTGAAGAGCCTCGGCCCCTACGTCAAGGAGCACTTCCCCAACGCCGCGTACGGAGTCTACCCGACCGAGAACGACTCCAAGGTCGCCGTCATTATCGTTTCCAACAAGTACTCTCCCAACAACTTTTGGTACGCACCCTCTCCACAGCTCCTCGAGCCTTGCTGACATGCCCAGGAACGGCCGCTGGCGCTCCCTCTACATCTACGACCCCTCCTCCGAGAGCCTCGAGGGCTCGGTCAAGGTCGACGTGCACTACTACGAAGACGGCAACGTCCGCCTGCTCACCAGCCGCCCCACACAGACGTCCGTCTCGGGCACCGGCGCCGGCATCGTCAAGGAGATTTCGAACTCGGAGAAGAAGTACCAGGAGGAGCTCAACAGGGGGTTCACGAATCTGAGCGAGGGAGCGTTCAAGGGCCTGAGACGGCAGCTGCCCGTGACCAGACAGAAGATTGAGTGGGACAAGATCACCTCGTACCGTCTCGGACAGGACATTGGTGGAGGCAGCGGAAGGCGATGAGCTGGGGACGGGGCCGTGTTGAGTAGACGTTAGATCGATATCCTCCGTGCATTTAACAGGCGTCCAACTGGAGCGAGACTCCCTTCGTCTGTCACGGCAATGCTTCGGTGATGTATTCCCACATACTCGGGACCGCCTCAATAAAAGAGTGGCTAAAACAGCCGTATGCATATCTGATGGAATGCAGCAAAAGCGTGTGTGCCGGCGATTTTTACCCGTTCAGGAAATAAACCGCGAGCCACGGCCAAAATGCCTTGGGAACCGATATCAGAAGCCAGCGTGATTACCCCGCGCGTTCCCCGCCTTTTGCATCTGTATGGAATTGACATCACGATCCCGGGGGACGCACGGAGTGCCTCGGCATCATCCCGAACTCCCAGATGTCAGCGAGCGGGATTGACATGCGGGCAGAAAAGCCGTACGGGCTGTAAGTCAGAGACAGCTGAGCCGGTCTTATGTAGTGCGGACTGAAGGGGACGGCCGCTCTGCAGGCAGCATGGGTGATTTATCTGAATCAGGTCTGCCGTCCCAGGTCTTGGAATATTCCGTGTGCTCCGTGGGATTTCGGACTGTCAACCGTCGGCCAAGAGTCCGTGAGCGCCATTTACGCGCCCACAGGGACCCCGCGGAACCGGTGAGATAAGGAACATTCCGACGGGCACAAGTCTCGAGGAACCCAACCCAGTGGCTAGAGGACGAGCGGGTTGTGGGTATGGCTGGATGATTGGCAATCCCCCCCGCGGGACGCATTACACTGGACCGGCCAGCTGCGGCGTTGCACTCGGTCGGGTTGCTTGTCGAGCCCAGTGATGTAGCAATGCAAGGATACGAACACGAAATACTGGGGAACGGACCGGACCCTGTGGCTGAAATTCCGGCAGACGACGAGCGGTTTCCGCTGTAGATATTCGCAGAGGGTTTGCGACGTGGAAGCGGAACTGAGAGGAGGATCGCTACTCGTCGAACCAGCCACGCGCAGCGGACACCGACAGGATTCCGGCAAGAGGCCCGCGTTTCGAAACGAGCTAACTGGACGCAGCAGCTTGGGCGGTCAGGACAGGCACGGCGTGCCCTCACATCGCAGTGCTTGCTCTCTTCTGAGCAACGTTCGCCCTGACTCGGAGACAGCCTGGTCAAGTCTCAATGGGCGGGGAAGAGACGTGGCACTGCCTAGGACCAAGGTAAGGAACGGGTGTCGCAGGGTAAGGCGAGGCAGAGGCAGGCTTGGGAGACCTAAGTTTGCGAATACAGTCGTGGGTGACATACGCCGTATTCACATTCATTTGCCAGCCCTTCCCGAGTGCGATGCCGACAGGAACGGCGGCATCACATTCGCTCCGCCGGGGTGCCAGCCCCGCTCCCACTCTCTGGGCATTGGACCTCTCCAGTCAGTCTCCAGCTGGGCTCTCAACCTCCCGTTGCTGCCCCTAAAAACGGTACCTCGAAGGCTCAATCCCTCTAAACCCTGGACGCCCAATCCACCAGGCCGGCGAATCACAGCAGGCGTGCACTAATTTCGGTGTCCCTCATTGGCCCGAAAGCCCCCCCTGAGCGGACCCCCGATATCCTTTTTCCCCCCAAGCTGCAATTGTGTCCACTGTCAAAGCAGAAGCTTCCATCAGCTATCCCCCCCAATTTTACGCGATAATAGTGAAGCGGGCTCAACAACATCCGAGCTGGCCTGATTGTGCAACTGCCACCTCTAAATCTCGCCAAAAAGTCTCTTTGTCCTGCTTCTTCACCTGCCTCGCACATCCACCCACCAAGTTTCACCGAAACAAAAGAACGCTTCGCAACCACGTTTGCTGCTCAACAAAAGCCACGTTTATCACCAACAGAACGAGAACCCTCTCTTGCGAAATCTGTCACAATGGGCGGCGTCGAACTCACCTACCAGGATGTTGCCGAGCACAACACCAAGAAGGACATTTACATTGTAGTCCACGACAAGATCTACGACTGCACCAAGTTTGTCGACGAGCACCCGTGAGTACTCTACCTCAGCTGCCCCTGAATGGCCGGCTCCGCCATTGTCCGTCTGTTCTTCCCAACTGACGTTTTGTCTCTAGCGGTGGTGAGGAGGTTCTGCTCGATGTCGGCGGTCAGGATGCCTCCGAGGCTTTCGAGGATGTCGGCCACAGCGACGAGGCCCGCGAGACCCTCGACCAGCTGTACATTGGCGACCTGAAGCGCCAGGTAAGCTGAACCCTCTCCGCGCATGCGCGCATGCTCGGGATATTCACGGCTAACGCTCTTCTTTCTCTTCCCAGCCCGGCGACCCTTCCCCCAAGAAGCAAACCGCTCCCGCCACCTCTGCCGGCCACACCGAGAGCCCCGGCTTCGGCATCGGCCTGTACGCCGTCCTCCTCATCGGCGGTGTCCTCGCCTACGTCGCCTACAACTACCAGCAGCAGCAACAGCAGCAGTCCGCATAAGTTCCTCAGCGGACTTTTGTCGTGTGTTTTTTTGACTGCCAAGCGAGTACATTGGGGGGAATGATGGAAGCCGTCACCGCGCACGGTTCCAGAGGGGAAACGCGCGCGCGCCGCCCCGTAATGAGGCACCCAGGCGGATGTGATGGGATTGATGACGGGTCTCTCTCGTCTCTGCGATCATCTGACAAGAGGTTTGACGTCGGTCGGCAGGAGCTTTTTTGACGTCGTGAGGCGGATCTGGCTGGTTGTGCTTCGACTGAGCCAAATCTGCCGGTTGAAGATATTGCTTTTAATAGAATATACGTTCGGTCACGATTCTTATGGACATTTGTTTACGGGGTGTTTGGAGACGCGCAAGAAGCGCTGGATATAGTTGACAACAAGGATTGTGTCTTGCTGTCTGCGATTCTCTGGACAATTCGGACTCGAGATGCTTGTGACTGGCTGCTCAGCGCTGACCGCTGTGATGGTGCGCATGTCACCATCCATTGCGGCCAATGCCAGGACGCCTTATTCCAGACGTACCTCTATAGTCCAGACTTGTCTGCCGTGAATCAAAAACCATATCTTCCAAGGTCAACTCCCACTCTTGACGGCCACTTTCGGCTCCCACTCTTGCGTCAACCCGCCATAGGGGCATGGCCCGTGCATGCTATATCCACAGCCACTCTGTCGCCAGCTTCTGAGAGACAACAGCCGGAACCCATCGGAAAATTGCATGAGACACCCACAAGGTACATGATGGGTCTATCATTGATGGAAGCGAGAGTCCGTAGGCGTCCATCGGAAATTCATTCGATCGGAGATAAAGGTGCCTGGCGTGGCTTAGCTCATCAGCCACGTCCGTGCGCCACAGTGTCGAACGTCCAAGAAGATTGAATCAGCAGCTTCCCATCTTGGCTCAGCAAAGAATCTTCCCTCCGTCACCCTGCTTGCGCCGTCATTGTCAACCGGCTGATCGCAGCAAACGTCTGGATATAGTTGTGGATATTGAAGCAGCGGGAACGACAGGAGGAAACCGAACAAGGCACGACAGCGCGATCCGAGGAGAGCGACCGCGAGGACGAGGCAGCGAGCCGCCGACGACAGGTCGACGCCGCCCGGCTCACGCAGCTGACCATTGAAGCGAAGCATTGTCGAGGACCTGGGGATCTGCGAGATACGAGCGACGGGCCAAAGACTCCCGAAAGACTTGATCTTCTTCCTGCTTCTCGATCGGCAGAGGCGCGCGGCTGCCTGGTCACTAAACGAGCAGCTATCGAGCTAGCAACCACCTACAACCGCATGCTGAGAAGCATCTACAACCCGTTATCGACTCCCTCCAATATATACTAGACACCGTTTCACCCGCCGCCAAGATGTCGTCCCTCCTCGAGAAGCAAAAGGCAGCCTTCAACAGCTCGCTCGCCTCGGCCGCCAGCAAGCTGACGGCCAAGAAGCCGTCGTTGGCGCCGCCCTCGCCCTCTCCTTCCGTCGGCAGCACCGCATCCAAGAACGATGCCTCGTCCGGCAAGCGCAAGCGCGACCCCAACGCTGTCGTCTACTCGCAGCCTCAGAACACTAGTTTTGGTCAGGAGGTCTTCACGCAGATGCAGTATGCCCTCGAGTGGCTCAAGGGCAAGGACGAGCCAAAGACGGCCACCGAGATCTTTGACCACCTGGGCCAGACGCGCAGCACCGACAAGCACAAGCAGTCGCTGGTCGAGGCCATGCGCCGCCACCCGCGCATCCAGTGGGTCCCCGACTCGAAGCTCTCGGAGCAGACGTGGAGGACCGGCACGTACGTCCACCGGCCCATCATCCCTGGCGTCAAGGACAAGATTTCGCTCCTGCGCCACCTGCAGAGCAAGAAGGACGCCGAAGGAACCAACGTCAAGGACCTGAAAGACGGCTGGCCCGACTGCGACCAGGCGTTGATGGAGCTGGAGCGCGAGCACAAGATCCTCATCGTCAAGACGAAGAAGGAGCAGCACCCGCGCGCCATCTGGCTCGACGACGCGACGCTGCACCACCACGTTGATGACGAGTTCAAGCGCATGTGGAACGCCGTCGAGGTGCCGAGCACCGACGACATCGTCAAGAAGCTCGTCTCCGTCGGACAGAAGCCCGCCAGCGCCGACCCGAGCCTCATCAAGAAGGTCGATCCCAAGAACAACAAGCAAAAGAAGCGCGCCGTCCGCCGCACCGGCAAGACGACCAACACGCACATGGAGCATCTGCTCAAGGACTACAGCCACCTTACTAAGCGGTAGATGGATACATTCGGCTGCATTTCTGGCGTTTTGATGGGCGGTGGCTCTTTGGGCGAATTCGGATAGGTTTCCTCGGTCTTATAGAATGGGTTTCAGACTGGCTTTGTCACGGCCGATCAGGGACAAGTCCTGTGATAAGGGGCAGAAAAGGCGATGAATAAACATATTACCAGACCCGATGCTCAACTGTGGTATCATCCGCGCCGCTATGCTGCTGACTCGACTAGGCAACCCTCTCTCACTCCTCGGCCACCCTCTCAAAAACTCTCAGAAAGACGTCCGGCTCCTGTTTCCCGCCGACACGCCACCGACC